GGAGATCCATTGACGCGAAGAAGCACTTCTGGTTCCGTGCTAATGATAGCCGATGGACCAATATCATGGGCATCCAAGAGGCAGCCTATAGTAGCGCTATCGTCGACTGAAGCCGAGTACATAGCCGCAGCAGACTGTTGCAGAGGCATTGTATCTCAAATCTCTATTACAGGAAATAACCGGTTTGGACATAAAAATAAATCTGCATGTTGATAACCAAAGTTCGATTCAACTTGTGAAGTCTGGATCCTTCAACAAAAGGTCGAAGCACATAGACGTGCGGTACCATTTTATACATGAACACTTCGTGCATGGATTAATAAATATTAGCTACTGTCCCACAGAAATTCAGTTAGCTGACGTAATGACAAAACCATTGTCAAAAGTAAAATTTGAAAGACACTGTGTAAGATATGTATAGAAACGTGTCTCGGCAACATGATGGAACATCAGGAGGTGTTGGAAGGTCGTGATGCTGTCCACGTATAATTGTCTATGATGCACTATATTTGAATTTGTAATATGTTCCTTTTACTTTTGATGTGCGATGTCATTCTGAATTATATTTTCTCATATACAAGTCAACACAATGTTTTCAAGTATTTAATTTACGTTTTAATTAATTGCTATAGCCTTCATGGTCATGGTCTTCGTAGAGGACTTGATCCGATTCTTCTCCCTCGAGAACATGATCATGGTCGTTGGAGATTGTTTCGGTAGTTGTATCTCCCTCGTGAACGTGTGTTTGCTCTGGAATTGCAACTTTTCTTTCTAAGTTCGTATTTGGCGTTATGGTAATCGGGTATACAACTTCTGTTTTAGGAATTTCACTATTACAGATAGGAAGAGGTTTCTCATCGAAAATTACATCACGAGAGCGGACGAGCGTCGACTGTTTTCCGTCTGTGACCCAGATACGGTAGCAATCTTCGTCGTACCCAATAAGTCGACCTTTTGTCGCCTTTTTGTCGAATTTTCTACGCTTCTGCTTTGGAATATGGACGTATGCGATTGAGCCTATTATTCGGAGATGTTTAATAATAGGTTTCTTTTCATACCAAAGTTCATGCGGAGATTTATCTGAACTTGTGGGACCTGTTCTGTTTAGTATGTATGCGGCGGTATTAATGAACTCTGCCCATAGCACTTGCGGTAATGGCTCATGAGCGTACATCATTGATCTTGCTGTCTCAACTAGGGTTCTGTTCTCCCTTTCGCTTACTCCGTTTTGTTCAGGTGTATACGGGGTGATGAGTCGCTCTGCTATTCCATGAGTGTCTAAAACATTTTTTATGGACGCGTTGTCAAATTCACCGCCGTTGTTACGTAGAAGGCATTTTATGGTGTGTCCGACTGTTTTACTTTGAGCGATCATCAAAACTAACTTGTCTTTGACCTCGGACTTCTTGCGTATGAAGTACACCATACGATAGCCAGTAAAGTCGTATTTAAGCAAAACGTAGTACTTATAGTTTGAGAAGCTAGATTGAAACGGTCCGCAAACGTCGGTGTGTACGATTTCTCCAGGTGCGGTAGCTCGGGTTCTTATACCGAATTTAAGTCGATGCGCCTTCCAAAGATGTAGCCTTCACAGGTTTCTTTATCCACCGGCAGGTTTAAACCTAGATCCCGTTGGATCGTCGCTCTTACGTGTCTTTTATTTTGGTGAGCGAGTCTCTCGCGTTATAGTTGCATCGTTGCTGTAGTTGCAAAGACTTCGGGTGGTTTTTCTGGCAGTACGAATTTTACTTCCAGTCGATATAAGCCACCTTGTTTTTGTCTCTTCCCAATTAAGCATACCTTCCCGTTGACAATGACGTTGCATTCAGTTGTGCTTGATGAAAAGGTGCTATTCGGGACTCGATCGTGAAGTGCGAGTACGGAGAAGATGTGCTTGCTTATGGCCGGAACGTACCAGACGTCTTGCAGGCTGATGTCGATTTGTTTCCCGTTAACATATCCTCTGAGCTGTACTGTTCTTTTGCCTTTGGCACGGACTTCATTACCAGCGGCCGTTGTAACAGTGTAGTTCTCATTGAAATGTTCGTAGGTTTGGAAAATGTCAGCTCTGTTGGTGACGTGGCCTGTTGCACCATTATCTATGTACCAGTTCTCGTTGTCCCGTGAAACTGTGAAGATTTCGTTGTCTTCTAAAGACATGAGTAGCAAATTAGCGGTCTTTGAAGTAGGCGTTGCTGTCTGGGTCGGATTTTGGCTCTTAGGAGGTTTACCGTCACGGATCCATTTTTGACAGTTGCGTACTCTGTGGCCAATACCTAGGCAGTAGTTGCATTTAAGCTTCTTGTCCTTCTTCTTCTCCGTATTCGAAACCAGGGCTTCCGAATGATGCGAAGGTACATTGTTACCTTGCAGTGCCCTTTCAAATGCGCAGAGATGACTAGTTAGGCTTTCTACAGTACGGTTGGATTTGGGCAGGAGGAGCCAACTACTTCTGAAGCTGAAGTATAAATCGTCAAGCGTGTCCAGTATTTTACAAACAAGTAGCAGTTCGGGTAGCTCTTGGTTATTGTCCTTCTTGAGTTCTTGATTCAGTTCAGCCCAGATGTTCTTTAATTATGACATGTGAGTAGCTATGTCGTCTGCTTGATCCCTCTTAAAGCTGAAGAAACTCATACACAGGTTGTAGGTTTTGTCCTCATTTGTTCCGTCGAACAGCCTGTGGAGCTCTAACCAGACATCACGTACTTTAGTGAACCGCATCACTTTTCGAAGTGTCTTCTTGCATATTGGTGGTAAGTATTAGGATAGCGCTGGCATCAGTTTTATCAAACTTATCTTTTTGTTGTTGATAAGCCGCCAATTCAGCATCGCCGCATCCGGTAGGTGGACAAGTAGGCTCCTGGAACGATCCTTCAACTACTTCTAGGGCCGACGGTACGGTGCGTAGTAAGCATAAGGCTTTGTATTTCCAAGTGTCCCAATTTTTTCCATCTAAGAGGCCGATCTGAAGCTTTCCTATGATACCTTCCATTTTCGTAGTGCGGGTCCGTAACCTGATATAATTTAAAATTCTTGGTAGCAGAATCCGAGCTTTAAATCGCAGAGTGCAGGCAGTTACGAAATAATATACTAACACACTTTTATAAATTAATATTAGTTACGTCGATGTTTTAGAATTTTATATCGAAATCACAGTTTTTTTCACAGTTAATTTATTTTATTTTTTTCACGAAGTGACAGACATTTCTTCACTTATTCTTTTGACACCTCTTGTCACTTCTTTCTATGTATATGTTTTCTTTTCATAAGGAGTTTCTATACTATCAACTCTAATATTTAGGTACCTCAAGCACCGGTTATCGTTCTCGTCGAACCCGTCGCTTGCGACAAAGGGCTCGACGAGTAAATTAACCCTCAGACACAGTCCACTGAATTTCTAGCCGGATCTTCTCAGTGGGTCGCGAGTCCGATCCGGTGGTAGATTCTGCGAAGCACGGCTTTTGCTGGGGTTCGTGTTAGCAACAACGTCAGGTTTGAACCCCGTGAGCTCACCTACTAGTTAAGCGGAACCTGATATAGCCTCTCAAGGCTATCAGCTTAGGTAGGAAAAAAAATTGTCATAGACAATACACATTTACCCTGATAACCATGTTCAACGTAAGTTAACATCTAATTGCATTTCAACTTGTTGACAATCCGTTACCGAAACTGGTCATAAAATTTCCAGTTAAGCTGTAGCACATACATTTTGTAAGCTTACCATTAAGTTATAGATAATAAACGGATATACCACTGAAGTAGGAGAGGTCTATGGGATATACAGAATATTGTAAAAAATTAACGTTTGTGCTCTTCATTAAGTAACTTATCAATAAAAGCTGCTAAACGATGATAAAAAAAACAATCTAAATAATCATCAATAAAACAACTGTAGTTGCTAGATGACGCTACTGTCGCGTTAAAGCGGCAATTAAATGTTAAAAATTATGTTCGTTCGGAAATTTTCAATTATTGTTATTATTTTATTACATAAATATCATATACAAATTTTCGTAACAGTTACAAAATTAAATATTAGGTCCTTACATATGAAATCGGCGTTTTGTACGGGAGGAATACAATGTAATTCTTTTTTATGTAAAATATATTTCATTAAAGTATGCTCCGTTGTTATCTTTGCACTTTTGCTATCTCATAGATAGTTCATTGATCCCTTTACTAAAAAAACTATGGTACTACACATGGTACTCGTACTGTAACGAAAACCTGGAGCACGTATTTTCTCTTATTCTCTGTTTCGACACAGCTTGAGCTTAGAGTATGTATTTTTGTGATTCCCCCTATTTATTTTCTATTAAAACCTCCACGAAGGCATAAAACTGTCGCTTTTTTTCTTTTTAAATTTTCATGTCTTTCATCGGTACATACGACACATGTCATGGCATTATAAAATAATGTGTCGAATTATATGTAGGTATCGTACTCGCAATAATGTAAAAATAAATAAATCTATCAAATATTGTGAAGTTTTTGTCATCAAAACGCATTGAAGATTCCGATTGGTTAGTTGCTTTCGATTTAAATTGTGTGTCTATATTTTACCGCCCGCCAGAAAAATTAGCGCAGTTCTTCTTGTCTACGCTCTTCGTCCCACTTTGAATTTCTTAAAATTTCCATTAGAAAAAAATATCAACATTTAAAAACCTTTTAGAAGGAGAAGATGAAACCAAAATTTAAAAATTATCATTTGTATTTTTCCTTACTACCTTATGTGATATTAAATGAATGACTTTAGAATGTAAGACTCTTAAAAGTTATTATTTATTCGATAATTTGTATTAGTGGAAATTCGTCCAGGATTTTGGTGCAGCTTAAAAAGTCATAAGTAATAGTTAAATATATGAAGTCCTATAAATTTTAACATGTGAATTCCGATTAAGATTATTAATTTACCAAATTCCATTTCATAGTACTATTTTGGCAAAACGCACCATATACGCTGGCAGCATTAAATCATAGACTAAAGCGTCAATCGTAATCATATGATCACTTTTCACATGACCGATGGTCACTCGTCATCGCCCATTTTTCGATATTTTTATGACAGTTTTCACAAGTTTTCGGACTAAAACCTAATATTTTAGTCCACTAACGTCCACTAGTGTAGTACAAAGATGGCGTTTTGCCGTTTACTGTTCCCGTTGCTAGTTCTAAGCGTGGCCAGTGCGTCGACGGTGCCAGTGTTCTTATGGGGCGACTTATCCAGTAGCTCTGGAAACTCCCTGAAATCGAACCCATTGAGCACGGTGTCCGCTCAAGGGTTCAGCGAAATTTTGAATAATGAGCTGAAAGACGACCCCTACGTGATAGTATTCCTTGAAGAAACCTTATCGGTCGAAGATTTTTCACGTAAAAATAACGAAGGTGATATTTCGATTCCGTACCTGTATGATAATTTAAGTGACGCTCTGTACTTGCCTTCCGTCGAGGATGCCTCAAGAGTACTCGAGGAGGTCGCCAAAGGAGCTGTTCATGTAAAACTCACCCAAAACGGACTCTCTGCAGCCATTGAAGATAAAAATAACAGGTTTATGTTCATCGCCTTGAAGGATGCTATGGAAGGCGAGTCACGTTACGACCTCCTCCGGCGCCATAGCAACTTTATGGAGGACCAGATATCTAAGCTGGAGAAGAAAGGTGATGTAATAGCTGTATACACTGCCCGAAACCCATCATGGACCATTCCGGACACCCACTCAAGGGTTCGTCGTCAAGCCAACTCTTCTGTAACCAACGGACCTGATTACTCATTAGACGGTCTGCGTTTGTACTTAACCGGCGTTACATTAGACCACAGCAATGCCAGCATGACATTCACAAACTATGCAGGCGGCTCATCTGAATACAATACAACAACTGGAGTCTTGAACGGCACTTTAAACTTTGATCAGGGAAGCCTGACTCTTAACTTCCACAGGGCCGCAGGATATTGGTTCTTTGGTAAGGGTTTTTAAACTATACAATATACTAGCTAAACTTGGCTCTGCTGGCTGATCTTTGATATGGAATTGATCCAATAATTACCAAAATTCACAAGATCACCTGCTAAGCTAATCTAAAGATTTTCTGAAAATTTTATCAAAAGCCAAGCTATTTTAGTCTATGGAGAACATACATACATAAATCAACTTTTATTTATCTAGATTTAAGTGGCTATGTGACCTGATAAATGTCACGAATTGAACACTGCTACTGACCTTGAAAAGTAAAGTTTGAAATCTAGGGTTTTTTTGTAATTGGAAGTCAGAAGTTGGAGCTATATGCTGTCAGAACTAGTTTGACACAATCACTATTTGAAATATCCATTTAGACTATTACCATGTATGTTCTCAAATCAAATTCATATAATATTATACAGAAGATCAAGTAAATCTTATTATAAAGCAGCTTTACAACCAAATTATCATTCAATTAAATAACTAAAAAACACACCTTTATAGAAAATACAACCAAAAAAAAAACAAAAAAAATATTTTATTCACATATATGAGAAGAAGGATTATCATTTTGATAATATCTTAAAGAGCAACCCACGCTTGTATGAATTCGACATCGTTAATATTGTGTAAGAGCTGTTAAAAATGGGAGCTAGTGCCAACAAAAATTCAAAATCCTAATTATTCTAGTAAAGATAATATTGATTTGGTCATTGGCCCATGATATCCAATCTAATGTTTTGAAAGGGGTCAAAAACATATTCAAAGTTTCCATTACATACACACAAACTAAGGAATGTATGAACCTAATATAAGCATGTTAAAATGATTCAAAATGCTAACTTAGTAAGTTTTGTACTTTTTGTAGAATCATGGATATAATGTGCTTATGATGCTTATGGTTTGTGATGGCTATAACTAAAAAACATCATATCAACAATGGAGGCCACGGATTGGTGGAGCGTGGGGCGTCCTCCAACCAGGTGGATTGACGACTTAGTGCGCACGGCGGGAAATCGTTGGATGCGGAAGGCGAAGGACCGCATTCTGTGGAAGGCATTGGGAAAGGCCTATGTCCAGCAGTGGGCAGATAAAGGCTGATGATGATGATATCAAAAATTTGATTTTACTTAAAACCAGTTTTACGGTTTAGTCTTTCATTGCATATTGACATTATATTATTTGAGACTTTTGAATAACTAACAATTTTCATTAACACAGATAACTGAAATAATGTAACTGCAATTGAATTTGAATTTTGTGTTATTTAGGAGATACGCTTTCTGTTCTCAATTTTACTAATCTTTAGGATATAATCATATAATTCTAAAACAGAGAATTACAGAGATCTACAGAAAATTATATAATTAAGATCTACAGAGGATTGGCTTTCAATTTAATCGTAATTGCTCAGTACTCTTTTAATCAGTAAATCAAGTGTTTCGGGCAATACAATTTATTGACAATTGGTATCTGTTGGTAGGACGTCTTGTGAGCTTGCATGAGTAATTAACAATCACCTTCCTGTATATTTTCTGTCATGAAGCAGTCTTGTGTTCCTATTTGAGCCATGGGACATTGATATGCAATATGATTGAGATGTCGATATCTTGTCTCAGAGTGGGAGGCGGTTTGACTTGGTGATGCTCTGGTAATTTAATATCAGGTGGACCGTGAATAATGTCATATGTCATCAATTGAAAATACTTTAATAAGGGCTTACCCTTACATAATAATATGACCTACCTTAAAGACTTATTTTAAGACGATTCTCAGATCGTTATAATATTTTGTATCACTTAACATGAGGTGGGTTGACCTAAGCAAGCAAGGTAAAAGATCTAAGTTAACAATTTATCTTTCTTTAATTTGCCTTAAAGAATTAGAAAGCTGTTTGAAATATCACAAAAAAACGCCAATAAGAGAGAGACTACACAAATAAAAAATAAATCTGTTTTACAGTATCCCATTTTCCAAATCTGTAGTTTACAAGTATTTTTGATACCGACAATAATTATCATATTTTTCAGACACCGTGCACTTTGTCCAGACCAATCCGGCTGTTGACGAGATCCTCTATGCCACTGACGACTTGAATGCCCTGCTCGACTTTTCTTATCGTTGCAAACAGTCTGTCAGCTTCAAGAGTATCAACCAGACACAAGAGTACAAGGTGTCGTTTATCGATATAAAGGTAAGATAGATTTCTCTTGGCTACCTCAGATCTGATCTTTTTGCGGTAGGCGGCGGCTTGGCTCTGCCCCTGACATTGCTGAAGTCCATGGGCGACGGTAACCACCCACCATCAGGTGGGCCGGATGTTCGTCTGCCCACAAGGGCAATAAAAAAAAACCAAAAATAAACAAAAAAAAAATCCAAGCTGTTTGAAGGACCAGGGGAACGCGAGGAACGAAAGTGTTTTTTGTTTTTTATTGTTTAGATTTTTAGATGAACTCACGGCCCACTTGATGTTAAGTGGTTACCGGAGCCCACAGAGACCTATGACGCAAATGCCGCCACTCACCTCGAGACATGAGTTCTTAGGTCTCAGTTTTTACAGTACAACGGCTGCCCCACCCTTCAAACCGAAACGCATTACTGCTTCACGACAGAAATAGGCAGGGTGGTACCTACTTGTGCGGACTCACAAGAGGTCCTACCACCAGTAATTACGCAAATTATAACTTTGCGGGTTTGATTTTTATTACACGATATTATTCCTTCACCGTGGAAGTCATGGTGGCTTTTAAAGGATAATTCGTTTAATTTTGAGGTTTTTTTAAAGTTTTTTCACCATGACATTTCTTGATCAAGGAAGGCGTGGATTTAATTTCATTAGATAGAATTTTGAAGTCGTCGTGGCCTAACGGATAAGACGTCCGGTGCGTTCGTGTTGAGCGATGCACCGGTGTTCGAATCTCAGGCAGGTACCATTTTTTCTATGTACTCAACAAATATTCACGATTGACTTCCACGGTGAAGGAATAACATCGTGTAATCAAAATGAAACCCGCAAAATTATAATTTGCGTAATTACTGGTGGTAGGACCTGTTGTGAGTCCGCGCGGGTAGGTACCACCACCCCAGCTATTTCTGCCGTGAAGCAACTATCCAAGCAATAAAATAAATAAAAATTGTCTGATTTCCAGGTGCAGCCGTTCTTTGGTCCAACAAACGCTTCGACTCCGTTTGGGGATTCCTTTAACTGCGTCGGATTCTTCTCTGCCCCCATCTGGTCCGGTCTGTTCGTTGTGTTCATATTGCTGTCCATAACCTTCTATGGCATCATGACCATGATGGACATTAAAACCATGGACAGGTTCGATGACCCGAAAGGCAAAACCATTACCATAAACGCAGGAGAGTAATTAAAAAAATATTGAAATACATTTATACGCGATGTTAGGTTTTTTTTTGGTATAATCTGTATAATGCTCGCGGTACAGATAAAATCTAGATGTACATTTGTTTTTTTTTTAATCTGTAGTTTATTTTCGATATCTGGTTTTGCGTTCGTGTACGCTTTCGCTCTTTTTTTTTTAACTGGTATACATTTTTTCTTGTTATTTTTATCAAGTATTTTTTTGTTTTCGGAAACCTAATGTTCGCGTATATAATAGTAAATATGAAACGTCTGTCTATTTCTGGTGCTCTCGAGAAGAGTCTACAACGAGCTCAAAAAACTATAAAAAAAACCACGAATATTTATTTGAAAGGATAATAATTAACAAAAATAAATAAAACTAAAGATAATGTTAACGTATTTTTAAATAAGTAAAATATATATATATATATAAATTTAGCGAGAATTCCTACTAATGGTGCCTCAACAAAAGCAATAGACAATATAATAATGGACCCTAATGTAGATTAAAAAAAAACATTCCCAAAAAAAATGGGTCAATAATGAATGCTTATATTTATATTAATATACTTAATATGCGAAAAGAAATATATTTACTAGAATGTAAGCAAAAATGTGCCTAAACATAAACCTATAAGGCCTTACTCACGATGAGCGTTAGAAAAGCGGCGTTTTTAAAGCTAAGTTACTAAATCGCTTGTACCTCACTGTCGTAAAATATTGAAGCATAAATTACTAAAGACTTGGCCGAATTTTATCACGATTCTTCTAGAAATGGTCTTTTGGATTTTGAGCGACTAACTATTTTCACTCATCGTGACTTATGGTCGTTAGTGATTCAACAGCCAAATAACTGGCTGTTAGCAGTAGAATGGAAAGTGATCACGAGAAGCGAATGTCTTTCAACCGTTTGCCCAATTTAGGAGTGGATAAAAAAACTTACAATGATGGCCGCGTTCGAAAAGGCTCTTGTGGTACGCTTTATAAATAAATTTGAAGCTTTTAAATATACAAGTTATGCCTTAAAATAAGCACAATAACGACGACGTTTGATATTCCGAGCTTTTGAGTATATATATAGTGTTTAAAATTATAATAGAAAAAGAAATACAAAAAATAAAAAAATAAAAACAATGTGTAACTAAGTACTAAAAGCCCCTCCATTATGGTGCCAATTCGTGTTGTATTTTCGAATAAATAAATAGATTGTAGAATAAAACCATGATTGTTCGTAACAAGATTTTGTGAATTTATTTACGGCCCTCTACGGCTTTGTTTGCCGAAGTTTTCCCATGAAAAAAATCCGACGTTAAAAAATGTGTGTACGTACATTGATTTCCAGTATTCTATTTCGAGCGTCAGAACGCAGCGTCAAATCCGTTCGTACGAACGAGCCCTTAGTTTGTAAGCACAACACCGATCCGTGTAAATAGCGCTTTTGAAAACATATTATGTTAAAGTTTTGTTGAGATATTTTGATGAAGTATTAAAATGTTGTGTGACCGAATGTTTTGTTTTATTTATTTGTACAAACGAGTAATGTTGAGTGGTGAATGGAGATGCACGGAGACATGTAGTTGTTACAAGATACGACTGCGCGCCACCCTTAGTTGTGTGAGTGACCAGTCTGTATACGCGTCAATGTAGGTCTGAGAGCGCGTACGGTTAGCAAACAAAAATTCATTAATTCAAGTTATTGATTTCACCCATTTTTATATTTTAAGTATTTTTAAATTAACTTTTTATTTTTTAGATAACTAGTAATTTACATTAGTAATAATAATTAATTACAGGTAGAAAATTAAAGTAAACACATTAAAGAAATGTAATCTACCTATATATTAATACTTGAAACAAAAACTTTGTACTCCTTTTTACGAAAATTGCGCGGACGGAGAAGTATGAAATTTACCACACTAGAGAATATAGAGAAGGAGTGCAGAATGCTAATGTTTTATTTAAATTATGCATTAATAATACAATGCTTTCCATTCTTTCCGCAGGATCGGGAATGACTACTCACCTTCGATCACACGTACATTTCTTTTGAAAGCATCCTAGAAGCCTTGCATTCTCTTACAAACGACTTAAATGCGTCTTTTCAACTTATTATTACGCTAGACATGTTTTCCTACTTCGTAAATATTAAACAAAATAGCAGAGCGTCTCATTTAAAACTAATATTTTATAGAGGTGCGTTCAATTAAAACCAAATATAAAACCGGAATTGATGTATCTCTTTTAACTGATTTCAAATATGCAGGTAACTCAATATAAAAAAACAAAATTGTCAGATACGTATTTGTCCCGTATGATGGCATTATATCCCTATACTATACCCTATACCCACCTGGACAGGAACCACTGTCCTGTCTGGTTCCCCTGTAGCCATTCATTCCGGTTTTAAATATCATTGAATATTATGAAAAAAAATCTGTAGTGCAAACAATCGTATAATGACAAAAACCCACAACAGATACAGCCCACTGAGTTTCTCATCGGATATTCTCAGTGGGTCGCGATTCCGATCCGCTGGTAGATTTAACGAAGCACTGCTCTTGCTAGGGCTAGTTTATGCAAATTTTCTCAAGTAGAGCCAAACTAAACTAAGCTAAACTACCCGTCCGCGCCTCTGGAATAGTCCCTCAGGCTATTATATACCAGCGATTAGGTAGGGAAAGTGAAAAAAAACCTCGCATTTTGTTTTTATTGCTTATATGGGTGGACGAGCTCACAGCCCACCTGGTGTTAAGTGGTTACTGGAGCCCATAGACATGTACAACGCAAATGCGCCACCCACCTTGAGATATAAGTTCTAAGGTCTCAGTATAGTTACAACGGCTGCCCCACCCTTCAAACCGAATTATTGCTTCACGGCAGAAATAAGTAGGGTGGTGGCACCTACCCGCGCGGACTCACAACAGGTCCTACCACCAGTAATTACGCAAATTATAATTTTGCGGGTTTGACTTTTATTACACGATGTTATTCCTTCACCGTCGAAGTCAATCGTGAATATTTGTTAAGTACATATTTCATTAGAAAAATTGGTACCCGCCGGCGGGATTCGAGCACCGGTGCATCGTTCAACACGAATACATCGGACGTCTTATCTTATAAGCCACGACGACTTCAAGGCGGATACTTGTTATACAATTTCGACGGTATGTCAATGCTTTCAATGTTCCATTGACCTCAAGCTACGAGTGTCGAGGTATCGGAATACACGTGAATGTAGTCAGAAAATAATACACAAAATATAAAAGTTTTTTTTTATTCTTTAATTTTTTTATTGAAATCGAACGCTACGTAATTCAAATCTTAGGTTGATAAGCTTTCGTGTCGAATCCGTTTTCTGCGACCTTCTCGTCGATCCACGCGCGGATCTTGCTGACGTCCACGTACACGCCCGGGGTGCCCTGCTCCCCGCAGCCGATGCCCCAGGACACGATCCCGGACTGCCAGTACCGGTTCGTTTGGTTCTAATCGAGACGAAAAAAAGATACAACAAAATAAAATGGCGTCTGCAACTTGGTGCGTGAGTGTAAGAAGTGAAACTTCTTTTGCGGTGAGTAGTATTGTGGTTTTCTGGATTTATAATACAATTTTATTAGCTTCAGACGTACGTATGTTAGTATGTAACGGAATCTTTGAACATGATTTTGACCCCCTTCAAAACGTCGGATTAACTCAAAATTTGGTTTACTTATTAAGGACCGATGACAATTCAATATTTAAAAAAAATATAAAAAAATTGAAATTCAATTAAAAAATGGAAAATAAATAATAGTGTAAAAAAACAAAAAAAATACGCTTTTATAGAAAATCCAGCTAAAAACAGAACTTAAATTTTAATAAAAATAGTGTAAGAAAAATGATTTTATTGTAAGAAAAGCGTGGGGTGCATGGTATCAGTATGTAGTTATAAATATTTTATGAACAGATATGAATAGAAAGGTTATTTTGATAATATCCTGAAAAGCACTCCACGTTTTTTTTTTACAATAAAATCTATAACTATAATTTTTTTTTTGTTATTATCGTCCTGTCAGAGGAATACCCGGTCTTACCGCTTACCTGCCCTCACCCTACGTTTTGGTTCGAATGAGTAATACGCTTACCGGCATGGGGCACACGAGCGGCGACCCCCCGTCCCCGGTGCAGGGGTCGCGGCCGCGCTGCCCCCCCGCGCACATGAACGACTCGTGGAGCTGGAACAGCCTCCCGAGCCGCGTCTTGCGGAGCTCGCGCTGGCACACCTGGTTCTCGACAACCGGCACCTCGATCTGGAAGCCCAGTGGCGGATTAAAGATCCAGAGCGCCCTAGGCAATCACTTTATCGGCGCTCCTGTACCGGTTATAAATGGCCATCATCTACAAATATAAATAAAATTAGAGTGTCTGTTTGTAATATTGAAATAACCGCTTTTTACTACATCCATATGAATATATATACGCTACATACACCAAAATAACATTTTTTACAATTTTTGTCTGTCTGGCTGGCTGTCTGTCTGTCTGTTTTTTCCGGCTAATCTCTGGAACGGCTGGACCGATGAGACTTTCACTAGTAGGTAGCTGATGATATAAGGAATAACGTAGGCTACTTTTTTTTAGACTAGTTTTGCCCCACGGATTCACCCACAGCTATTGTCGTAGCGCGCGCAACATGACGGGACTCGCCTATCAATTATAAAATGTAATGTTTCCGAAGCGAAGCGAAGCGAGGGCGGGTCGCTAGTAATACTATAAATTTTAACTAGTTGTTTATGCAATTACGATGACGTAGTATCATGAAACCCTAGACTTTAGTAGACCATGACCCTTGTACTTACGCTAATGCCCGAATGAAAATGTCTTTATAACACTTATAACTATGAAGAAATCAAGAGGGACGACAGAACGAAAATCGAAATTCATGATTCCTCTCTGCGCTGGGAAATAAGCCAAATAGGAATAATCTATTATAAATTTAGATTATAGATCAGCATTTATTTCTTAATCGTCGATATATTAATTCTTAATTTATTTAAAAATTCTTTGCTCGCGCGCCCCCTGTAACTACACGCCCCTAGGCACGTGCCTAGTTTGCCTTACGGATAATCCGCCTCTGTGGAAGCCCATATTCATTATGCAAGCTTTTTTACTGGTTGTAGGACCTCTTGTGAGTCTGCACGGGTAGCTACCACCACCCTGCCTATTTCTGCCGTGAAGCACTAATGCGTTTCGGTTTGATTTTTTATTATTTTTCCTACCTAAGTTGAGAGCCCTGAGAGGCTATTTCAGCGTAACCTTAACTAGTAGGTGAGTTCGAGGGGCTCAAACCTGACGATGTTGCTAACACGAACCCTAGCAAGAGCCGTGCTTCACAGAATCTACCACAGGATCGAAAACGCGACCCACTGAAAAGATCCGGCGAGAAACTCAGTGGGCTGTGTCTGAGGGTTTCGGTTTGAAGGGCGGGGCAGCCGTTGTAACTATACTGAAACCTTAGAACTTATATCTCAATGTGGGTGGCGCATTTACGTTGTAGATGTCTATGGGCTCCAGTAACCACTTAACACCAGGTGGGCTGTGAGCTCGTCCACCCATTTAAGCAATAAATAAAAAACTCCACTACAGACTACTTTCTACTCGAAGCGAAAGGGCCGAATTGCCATAATTAAAGTTCAAATTAAATGTTCTATGAATTAGATTGAGTTTTCATTTTCATATCGTTGAAAAGTTCTTATTTAGACCGACCCGTCAGCGCGTATCAATACTTAAGTAGCCACCTGTTTCAACTTGATATCTCAAGCTGTATCCCAGGAAACGATCTTAAGTGTCGATCAGGCATACAACAAAGTGTTCTTATTTTAGCTATGTTCTGTTTTTGAGAACCGGAGCCCCAATAGCGTATACTGGTGAAGGAGCTCACGGGAGCACCTCCAACGATGATTAAGCTTGGATAGGAGGATAGCTTCACGACAGACATAGGCAAAGTGGTGGTACCTTAATATACCAATAAAGGCCATTTTCCTTGCGAATTATCAACTGCCTTACGACAACCACAGGAGAGAGGGGCATGTTATAACACACCGCTACTCTATACCTACTATTAGTGTTAATTGTAGTTTAGTAAAGAAGAAGCTTTAGTTTTTGGCTCCGGCACGGTTTGTGCATTAGCCAGTGTCAAGTAATAAGATTTCTATAATTCGTCGTTTTAATTATTTACAGTTTATGAATAATAATAAAACGAAGGAAACTTAATCAATTATCATGAAATTAAATGAGATGAGGTGATATGGGACGAAATATATTATAATCTCAGTAAAATGGCCAGCCATTTACTGAGACTTTTTCAGTGGATTTTTTGGGAGGATACCGAGAAGTTACTTTCAGCGCCTCTGTTTGATTTTCTCAGAATTGTGCACTTTCACAGATACTAAACAGTTAATAAACCACCGTTATTACACATTTAAACCTGAAGAAACACTAAATAGACAAAATAAAACATCACAAACAACTTTATTCCTCACGTTCCCGCCAAAAAGTTAAAATGAAATTATTTTTTTTAAGGTAATTTATGACCTGGTTACTAAGACCTTTACGTCATGTCTTATTTTAATTTATATTCTTATTTTTATGAAAAATAATAATATGGAGTGAAATGAAATTAAATGGATGAAGTTGATTAATTTGAGACATTAATCAACTAGGATGAAATTAAATGAAATGAGATGATATGGGATGAAATATAATCTTAGTAAAATGGTGGTCATTTACTAAGATTTTTTCAGTGGACTTTTTAAGAGTTCCCGAGAAGTTACGTTTAGCGACTTTGTTTCATTTTCCCACATTCGTGCACTCTCACATATACTAAACAGTTAATAAACCACCGTTATTACACATTTAAAAGTGAAGAAACACTAAATAGACTAAATAAAACATCACACACAACTTCACTCTTCGCGTTCCCGCCAAAATGTTAAGATTCGTAGACCATAGATCCTTCTGTACACGGAGACCATTCTGAGAGAATTAGGGGACCGACCTTTTTCATGATGCCCCGGTGTCTCCCTTCCTTCCCGAACTTGTCCTTGCCCCAGCCGGTGGCGAGGCACTTGGTCTTGGCAGCGGGAGAGTCCATGGGCGGCGGCAAGCAGGCGACGCCCACGTTGGGAGTCAGATCAACGGGCGACTCAAGGAAAAGTAGAGCGGCGTCGTATAAAAATTTCCCTAAAACGATTATTAGTGGCTATAGTAAGCTTTTTTTTGTTTGTTTTTTTGCTTGCTGGTGTTAAGTGGTTACTGGAGCCCATAGACATCTACAACGTAAATGCGCCACCCACCTTGAGATATAAGTTCTAAGATCTCAGTATAGTTACAACGGCTACTCCAGTTTTCAAACCGAAACGCATTACTGCTTCACGGCAGAAATAGGCGGGGCGGTGGTACCTACCCGCGCGGACAAGAGGTTCTGCCACCAGTAAAAGAGGTCCTACAACCTGTAACTGGCCAATTGGTTTTTGTTGATAAATTAGATACTTCGATCTAAGATTAGATAGGTGATGATATTGTCATCGGTCCTTGACGCCTGTGCAAAAGTTCAAGTCAATACAATAAAACCTCGCGTCTTGAAGTCGGTCAAAATGTCGTTCAAAGATTCCGTTACATAGATATATATCAATAGGTACAGGACGGGCAGAAGAAACAGAATTAAATGACTTATATTAGTTTATTTATGCTTATGGTTGGAACATGGGCAGAGGTTTCCCTGTCGGTAGGTACCACTAATTTATTTCCATCGACCTTTGAGACTTCGATGGCTCAAGGTGTCGTAGGGCTCTAGACCTGCAGTAGTAGGTTAAGTTATGGAGGAATTGTTCGAGATGATACCATCATCTAGTTTTTACCATCGCACCGCCCGCCAGCGGAGTAGAGTTCATCCATACTACCTGGAGCCACTGCGGTCTTCTACAGTGCGTTTCCAGAGATATTTTTTGCCACGTACCATCCGGCTATGGAATGAGCTCCCCTCCATGTTGTTTCCCGAGCGCTATGACATGTCCTTCTTCAAACGAGGCTTGTGGAGAGTACTTAACGGTAGGCGTTATTACGATGTCATAATTTTTGTCGCTTAAATCGATTTAAGCTTTGTTTTTCTGTAGCCATATGATATATGATTTTTGGTAGTACGAGTATACACGCTTTTATTAGTTTGGTATTTGTGAATATCTGTACATATAAATAAAATTGGAGTGTCTGTTTGTAATATTGAAATAACCGCTTTTTAGTACATGCATATGAATATATATACGCTACATATACCAAAATAACATTTTTTACAATTTTTGTCTGGCTGTCTGTCTGTCTGTTTGTTCCGGCTAATCTCTGGAACGGCTGGACCGATTTTGACGAGTCTTTCACTGATAGGTAGCTGACGATATAAGGAGTAACTTAGGTTATTTTTTTTTTAGATTAGCTTCGCCCCGCGGCCTCACTTGCGGTACGACCATAACCGCGGGTAACGTCGCAAGATTCAGCTACCTATTAATAATAAAATTAAATGTTTCCGAAGCGAAGCGAGGGCGGGTCGTTAGTTATATGTATATATGTATATTTGATATTATATATATAGGACACAACCTTCTTCAAACGAGGCTTGTGGAGAGTATTAAACGGTAGACAGCGGCTTGGCTACGCCCATGGCATTGCTGAAGTCCATGGGTGACGGTAACCACTCACCATCAGGTGGGCCGTACGCTCGTCTGCCTAATAAGACAAAATTAAGTAAAAAAGTCATACAACGCACTTCTGTTAAACTGTTCGTGTATGATGAAGCTCTTGACGTTTCTGTCCTGGTGGGTGAACACCTCCTCGATGTTCCTCGCGTCCCAGTCCCCGACCCTGGCGGTGAGGGACACGGACTCGTTCAACATGTGGCCCGCGGTCAGCACCACACTCGGGTGGATGAGCGATCCCCCGCCGATGTATACGTACAACTTCTGACTTTCGGGGTCGTCAGGGAATCGGAGCTCAGTTCTAAAAACACATTTGCTTGTTTCAAGGGAGACCAACACGTCAGATCAACCGTAGTCCTTACAAACAAAAACAAGTTAAATCATCAGAGAAACTAAATAAATAATAGTTTAAAAAAAACAAAAAAAGCACGCTTTATATACAATTCGCTTTATATTATTTATTTTTCATGTTTTTAGTAAAATTTTCTATAAAAGCGTATTTTTAAAACTATTAAGTACTTTAACATCAATTCCTGCCTTATCGACTATAGACAAAAATTATATAAATTGGCAAAAATCTTATTTTGCAAATTGAATAATGAAATAATCTTATTAAATTATAGTGTATTGTCATCGTTCCTCGATAAATCTACAAAGTTTGAATGGAATCTGGCCGCTTATAGTGAGTCAAAATAGCGTCTAAAGGAGTCAGTTACAAACAACTGTCAGTTAAAAGCAAAACAAGAAATAATGTGTTTAAGTAGGCAACTGACTTGGTGGTGCAGTAGTTAGCGAAGCTGACTGTTGCGCCCAGGGTCGCGGGTTCGATTCCCACATCGGACAAACTTGTGATGTCAAATTCGTTTGCTTTTTGTTTGGGTGTTTATTATCTCTACATAAGGGGTGAAAGACTATTTGGTTTAAGCGAAATATTTGCAACTTTACAACGAGAGCCATTTAATGTATAAAATTTGAAAAAAATATTATTACAAAAAAGACTTCAGCTATTTGAACGGATTAAACATATCTTTTTTTATTATTGCTTAGATGGGTGGACGAGCTCACAGCCCACCTGCTGGTGGTTAATGGAGCCCATAGACATCTAGAACGTAAATGCGCTACCTATCTTGAAATATAAGTTCTAAGGTCTCAGTATAGTTACAACGGCTGCCCCGCCCTTCAAACCGAAACGCATTACTGCTTCACGGCAGAAATAGGCAGGGCGATGGTATCTACCCGCGCGGACTCACAAGAAGCTCAGCACCAGTAATTACGCAAATTATAATTTTGTGGGTTTAATTTTTATTACACGATGTTATTCCTTCACCGTGGAAGTCAATCGAGAACAGTTGGTAAGTATTTCATTAGGAAAATTGGTACCCGCCTGCGGGATTCGAACACCAGTGCATCGCTACATACGAATGCACCGGACACGTCTTATCCTTTAGGCCACGACGACATACCGCGAAATTCATAATGAATTGTACAGTTCATAATTTATTTCGCGTACCTACCTTTGCACATTGTGTCAGTTCTGTTGTTATAGAAAAAAAAACACGTGTGGCACTCGGCGACTGCCGCGGTAAAGCAATTACATAGCATTTTTTGTCAACTTATGTAATTATAATCAAACAATAATAATTTAATATTAAAAAAATAATAAAATAAGACTACCTATATTTGTAAACATTAACAAAAGCAAAACATTAACTGTCCCCTTCGCACTCATATGCTAGACCGCGCGAAAAAGAGATGGGCAGACTTTTCATGATGCGCATGCAGTGCGACGTCACGCCGCGCGCTTATTCACAAACACTACACAAGCGCAACGTGTGAATGTGTTGAACGCAAGCTACATGGTAGGCGGAGTGTTACGTTTAATTTTCGTTACGGAATTTCTTGATTCGGTCACCGCGCTCAAAGCCCGCGATAAAAGCTATGCAATTAAATAGCTTAATAAAATAAAATAAAATTAATTTATTAAATTTGTGTTCCTAGTTTTTGAATTGTAACAACCTTGGTTATGTTGTATAATATTCGTATATAATATACTTATATTTTTGTTGTGCATAACGCGTTATATGGGATCAAACAAGCTCGTTATGTGAGTATAGAGCCTATAAAGCGTTTCCTATAACGCGGTCCAATCTACCGTGTTATAAAGGGGATTACTGTTTGACAATTCTACTCCAAAAAAAATCGCTTACCGCAAAATGACAGCCATCCAGGGTATTTCACCGAACTTGCTGAAGCCTTCCTCGCTTTGGTACTCTGTCTCCAGAGCGATTCCGTCAGGGTTCCGCCAGCCGCAGCCCTGCCCTGGAGGCTCTTGTTGCTGCCACCAATAAATGTTACAGATGTATCGAGTGTGAACATTCTAGTTCTATCGGTGTTACATAGTAAAATATAACTTAAAAATTTACGGCCCGCGGTATGCCGATCTCTGCATATCTATAAATTCTAAAGCCATGGATTGACAGCATCTGCATTACGAATTCTTTTGTTCACGACATTACAATAAAGCGTGCAATCATTGAAGCCATTCATTTTGAAGCCGCTCATAATACAAAAAAGGTCTAGTAAACACGTATTTGAATAACTATTTACGATTGGTCATCATTCTAATTGTTTCATAGTGCCCGATTTCTATTATTATCGGGTTCCAATGGTCCTGTTTAACGTGACTTTGATATTTGTTGGAATATACTGTATATGACGAATACTCCGGGGACTATACTGTTTTTATTTTATTACAGGATAATTTCGCAAAATTTCTGAGCGTCATTTCTGATATAAAAAATTGACATTAATTTAGCACTGTTTTTGAGAACTTCGTTTCTAATTACTTTTTTTAAACTAAGTCTTAATTTTTTTAACAGATTAATTTACCGCTTTTTTTGTGTGTCATTCTGTTTTTTTTTAAGGGAATTTATGACCTGGCAACGTTTTAGGTTTCATACTTCAGTGTTGTATAATCTATGGTTTTAGGCCCATACTTGAGAGTGTCATTTATGTTTTTATTTTATTACAGATTAATTTAGCACCAATTTTGAGAAAGTAATTTGTTTTTATTTTATTACTGATTAATTTAGCGCCATTTTGAGAATGTCATTTATGTTTTTATTTTATTCAATTTTAATACAGATTCTATTTATTTAGTGTCATTTTTAAGAATGTCACTTTTTTTTTAAGGGCTTTTATGGCCTAGTAACTAAGACCTTTAAGTCATGTCTTATTTTAATTTATATTCATATTTTTATGAAAAATGATATTATGGAGTGAAATGAAATGAAGATGATTAATTTGAGACATTAATCAACTGGAATGAAATTAAATCAGATGATATGGGATGAAATATAATCTCAGTAAAATAGTGGTCATTTACTAATATTTTTTCAGTGGACTTTTTGGAGGATCTCGAGAAGTTACGTCCAGCGGCTTTGTTTCGTTTTCCAACATTTGTGCACTTTCACAGATATTAAACAGTTAATAAACCACCGCTATTACACATTTAAACCTGAAGAAACACTAAATAGACAAAATAAAACAAAACACACAACTTCACTCCTCGCGTTCCCGCCAAAAAGTCCGAATGTCACACGTTTTCATTTTATTACAGATTAATTTAACGCCATTTTTGAGAATGTCATTTATGTTTTTATTTTATTACAGATTAATTTAGCGCCATTTTTGAGAATGTCATATCTGATTTTTTTTAAATAACAGATTAATTTAGCGCCATTTTTGAGGGTGCCAATTCTGATTTTTTTTAAATAACAGATTAATTTAGCGCCATTTTTGAGGGTGCCAATTCTGATTTTTTTTAAATAACAGATTAATTTAGCGCCATTTTTGAGGGTGTCAATTCTGATTATTTTTTCCGAAAATTTTCCAACTTTCTAGTCAAACGAGCTCACGGACTGTAGCTACATAATAACACTATACTTGAAATTTGGCTTTTAGAAATAATATTTGCTTATGTAAAAGTTTGAAATTCGTGTCTGTTCAAGACGCATTGAAACCCCAATTCGATGAAAGCACAGCCCCCTGCGAATCGTAAGAGATCGCTGTGCTTCTTGCTACAAAGTGACAATGTTAGTTCTTACCGCTCCCAGCTCAGGTACGACAGCAGTCCCGTTGGCTTGGTCCGGAAACACGCAGCACACGTCCGTGTAAGTTGCGCAAATTCTGTTGAACGTTAAGGGTATGATGTAACATCCTCGGACTGTGAGGTATCCTGTGGAAATCATCTCGAGACACGAAATCCTAATTGTATAAAGATTGTTTTATCGTTTATCTCTTTGTAGAGCAAAACGGTGTATTTTAACAACAACTTTTTTTTTTCTAACATATTTCTGAACGTTTCCGCATTTATGTTTGAATTTTTAAGCCTGCCAGCATTCGTGAATGATAAGTAGTTTATATTAATACCAGCAATAGCTTAAATCTTTTGCATCATTAAAAAAAACTGATAATTTCATCGTTTTTTGGGGCCTTTTTTCCCGCATCATTTTGCCTATAAATTTAGTATAGAAGACCAGTGGAAAGATTCAAGCAAGAATGCATAGAAAAAAAAGTAGCCTAAGGTGCTGGGTCTGTACTTGTGTGGGTCGGAATTACATCTGAGAATCGCACAGAACTGGTGTTCATAGAAAACGGCTCTTTAAGTAGCGTAAGATATGCGGAAGGAATCCCTAATGAACGCGTTCGGCCATTTATGGTCAATTTGGGTGGGGACCCAAATTGACCATAAATGGCCGAACGCGTGAGGTCGGGTATTATCGTGCATAAAAATAGCATCCCCATGCTATTTTTTTATTATCGGGTATTATCGTGCATAAAAATAGCATCCCCATGCTATTTTTATGCACGATAATACCCGACCTCATACAGGTTTCATTGTGAATGACTACTTACAAGAGACGAACATTACTCGTATAGAGTGGCCAGCACGCAGCCCGGATATCAATCCTATCGAGCATGCATGGGACAAGCTAGGGTGATGCAACTAGGGGTGTAAAACAACGAAACTCTCCCCCAATCACGCTTCGTGAGCTCACAATTGCTCTCACAGAGAAATGGGAGAATATTTACCAAAACCGTATAAGAAACTTGGTGTACAGTATGCTAAGCCGTGTAAACGCAGTAATGGAAGCACGAGGAGGCAATGCAAAGTATTAAAATTCAAGAAAATCATATTATTGTACAAAAATGTCATATTTTGGTTTTAAGGCGAGATCAGCAGTTTTGTTTTTCTTTCTTGTAATTTTTAATATATAAAATGTAGTGGATTATAATTTTTATTACTTTCATATAAGGGGTATTATTATATTGTCTATTAAACACCGTTTAGTTTATTAAGCTTCTTAGTTTCCAAGATTTATAGGTTTCCTATTCCTATCCTATGCCCTAAATCAAAATTGTACTTACCTATTGTCCGTCAACGAGTTAATTCCGAGGTCGAACGTGTTATTTTTCGAGGTGCACAGAAAGAAACTGACGCATACTCCTTTCTGTCCGTAAAATGTTGTACATTCCACTGGCTCTGCAAGTAAAAACACAAAACATTTATTTTTGGATATCATCATCATCATCATCATCATAGTCGGTTGCTCTTGGCAGAGCAGTCGTGGTCATGTGGAACTCGCTTATTAAGGCCTCGACAGATGCTTTCCATAGTTTGCGAGCTGAGGCTTGGCGTACGCGCTCGTTAAGTGGGGTTTCAGTAAGGTCTTTCACCTGACCAGTTCAGCGCAATTATTTTTGTATACACACTGTCGTATAATATTAGTACATACGAAAAATCTATTAGAATATGTTGCAGTAGACACGACTAAAATTATTTTTGCGGATTAACCTCGCATTTTTTTTTCAATGTAGTTGTTATTGTATAAAGTAGATATTTCCGGTAAATGTGCACATTTGCCGCAATATCTACTTTTGCCGTAACACATACACCAAAATAACATTTTTGACAATTTTTGTCTGTCTGTCTGTTTGTTTCGGCTAATCTCTAGAACGGCTGGGACGATTTGGACGAGACTTTCACTGATAGGTAGCTGATGATATAAGGAGTAACTTAGGCTACTCTTTTTAGATTAGCTTCGCCCCGTGGCGTCACCCGCGGTACGACAATAACCGTGAGTAACATCGCGAGACTCAGCTATCTATATCTATATCTGTCTTTTATCTATATATATATATAAAAATGAATTGCTGTTCGTTAGTCTCGCTAAGACTCGAGAACGGCTGGCCATATTTGGCTAATTTTGGTTTTGAAGTATTTGGGAAAGTCCAGAGAAGGTTTAAAAGGTAAATAAATATGAAAATGCTCGAAATTAAATAAAAATAACAATTTTGTTTCTCCTTTGATGTGTCCCCCATCGGACGGATTCATTTTGTTTATTTTAAGTTTATTTTATACAAAAGTTTAGGTAGGACAGGTTTTTTATATATCGATTGAGGCACTACGAAGTTTTTTTGTATTTTTTTTATTGCTTAGATGGGCGGACGAGCTCACAGCCCACCTGATGTTAAGTGGTTACTGGAGCCCATAGACATCTTTTTTATTTATTTATTGCTTAGATGGGTAGACCAGCTCACAGCCCACCTGGTGTTAAGTGGTTACTGGAGCCCATAGACATCTACGACGTAAATGCGCCACCCACCTTGAGATATCAGTTCTAAGGTCTCAGTATAATTACAACGGCTGCCCCGCCCTTCAAACCGAAACGCATTATTGCTTCATGGCAGAAATAGGCAGGGTGGTGGTACCCACCCGCGCGGACTCACAAGAGGTCCCACCACCAGTCTGCCGGGTCAGCTAGTTCTCGATTAAATACCGACGATATTACCGACCTGTCGATGCCGCAGTCGTGGTGGGAGCGGTAGTGAAGAATACAGAGAGGTCAATCGTTGAAGCGGGCGAGCTGGTTCCTTCCGTTGGCTGCAGGGTTGAGGGCGCGGAATTGAAGATGCTCAGTATAGTATTGTTCAAGGCCTTGCTCGGCTGCTCCTGTGCGGCAGTCGCGGCAATCGCGGCAGCCAGTAGAACGATTACGAAATTCATCTGAAAAACGCGTTTGTTTGATCAAATGATGAGTTTTATCGGTAACCGTACTCGTCGAACTCGACAAACAGGTCGACGTGCAACCTAACCCATACATCAGCCCGCTGAGTTTCTCGCCGGGTCTTCTCAGCGGGTCGCGATTCCGATCCGGTAGTACATTCATTCGCGAAGCATTTGCTCTTGAGTTGTTAGGTCTCCTCCGGAGACGCTCGGGCAGCTGTTAGCAAATCCCACCCCTCCTGACTGAGCCTTTGCTCGCCCACCTGTCCTGGTGAAACTGGAAAGGCCTAAGGGCCACCAGTAATTTTTTAAACATAAAAAAAGAGTTTTAACGGTGACATTTAATGTTTTAGATACGGCATGAGTTGCCTAATACACACCGCAACATGAATCCACCGAGAGACATGTGAGCTATGACATGTCCTTCTTCAAACGAGGCTTGTGGAGAGTATTAAGCGGTAGGCAGCGGCTTGGCTCTGCCCCTGGCATTGCTGAAGTCCATGGGCGACGGTAACCACTCACCATCAGGTGGGCCGTATGCCCGTCAGCCTGCAAAGGCAATAAAAAAAAAGACATCCCCCGGCCTATTAATATTAATTTTTTATTAACTTTAGTATATTCTAACATGTAAATATTTTATGTAAATTTGTATCTTCTAATAATATTTATCTTTAAAGTAGTTAGTCTAAAAAATTTGTTTGCGCTGTTCTCAAAATCACAAATTCGCGTAAGGAAAAACTGATCAAACTTATTTTTATTTAGATATTTTTAAGCTATTGCATAGCTTTTACCGCAGGCTTTGAGCGCGGCGACCGAATCAAGAAATTCCGCAACGAAATTAAAACCTAACACCTGCCACTCCGCCTACCATGTAGCACGCGTTTAACACATTCACACGTTGCGCTTGTGTAGTGTTTGTGAATAAGCGGGCGGCGTCACGTCGCACTGCATGCGCATCATGAAAAGTCTGCCCATCTCTCTCTCGCGCGGTCTAGCTTATGAGTGTGAAGGGGACAGTTAATGTTTATATTAGTTTATAAATATAGCGTGGTCTTATTTTAATATTGTTTTAATATTAAATTATTATTGTCTAATTATAATTGCATAAGTTGATAAAAAATGCAATAGCTTTACTGCAGCAGTCCCCGAGTGCCACACGTTTTTTTTTGTCTAAGCACCTGTCATTTCTGTGTATACCTACTGTGACATTAGCAAAATCAATGCCTAAGGCGTTGGAGCCAAATATTTTTTAATAAAAATAATAATATTTGCATCGTTTAATTAGGAACGGACGAGTTTACGAATCAACAATAATATGCGACGTCCCTATTTATTATATTATATCATTTGTTGTAACAATAATAAAAAAATCATTAATTGCCTCACACAGATAACCCTAAGGTTTTTGCAGGTAAATTATAAAGAAAAGTTAGGCTAAGCTGATGCTGTCTGAAATGATCTGACAGCATCAGCTTAACATAACTGATATGTCTTAGTGCGACGGTGGTCTCTACCTGTGCGAGCTCACAACACGCCCTACCACCAGTAATTACGCAATTTTATTTTATTTTGCGGGTTCGATTTTATTACGCGATATTATTCCTTCACCGCGAAAGTCGCTCGTGTACATGTGTCAAGTAGGTATGTACTTAGAAAAATGTCAACCTGTCTGAAAAAATGCAAAGATATTTTATATTGTTACGCGCTGGGGCTCGGGATAAATCGAAATTTTCACCGAAGTATGTTATTAAGGTGGATTTCAATTATCGCAAAACGCTTCATTCGCTTTGAGTGGAATTGATTACTGATTTTAATTATGCCTTCATGTCGACACATGACATCTACAACTTCCAGAACATTCCCGGTAGTACTACTGTTCGTTTCGATTTCAGTTTTCTCTATTTGACAACAGATGGCGTTGCTCGTAATGGTATAAAACTTCTCGAGCGTTCCTGGTAGTTAGTACGAGTTGTTTCGATATCTGTTTTCGTGCATTACAGATCATTATATAAACTAGTGATCCCCGCAGTAGTCGAAATTCGACTATAGTTAATTGAAATTAAAAGCTTAAACATTATTAAGGTTCTATTGTCAAACACTATTATACTTCTATTATTAATACAGATAAAATTACACTATAGACAAATAATATTAAAGACAAAAAATATTAATCTATTCTCAAATTGACCATAGACTTTAAACAATAAAAGTTTCACAATTGACAATACACAAAGAGTATATTTATATGCATGTGTGCGTGTCAAATACATGGTAGTGTGAGTAATGTTTTCTTTATTGATTTAATGTATTTTTATGCATAATTTTAAACAAATATGTATTAGCATTTTGCACTTCTTCTCTATGTTCTCTATAAGTGTGAGAAATTTCATACTCCTGCGTCCGCGCAATTTTCGTAAATAGGGGTACAAAGTTTTTGCTTCACGTATTAATATATAGATTACGTGTCAGATTTGAAGTAGGCGACTAATGAATTGAAATATTGGATTTATATTGAATTAGAATTAAAACGATAACACGTCTTATCGTGGGTCTCACAGTTCACACTCTCTGAACTGGTGCAAGAAGCACCACGTGTAATCCACAATATAAGATAGCGAATTTTAATTAAAATTCAAATATGATATTGTCTTCTTCTCCTTCGTCGCTTCCTCATTACTGAGGGTCGGGACCACCTTGGTCTAGTTTTTGCACCAGCTTTGATATTGTATAGGCATTATTAAGAATGAACATTTCTTTCAACACCGACTACCTTCCTTACAGCACACGGGGTACTTGTAAAATAACCCTTTTCTCTCCATTAAGGGGCTATTCCAGCTACGCGTGTACGGGAAGATGAGCTTATGGAGCTTCACCGGCGAGGACTTGCTAAAACTAGCCCTAGCAAGAGCAGTGCTTGGCTGAATCTACCACCGGATCGGAATCGCGACCCACTGAGAAGATCCGGCGAGAAACTTACTTAACACGTTGTGGCGGGTAGCCATCATACATCGCAAAATATTTGACAGATGCCTGAATCTCACTTACGACATTTTCAAGATAAACTTGCATATATACAAGTTCCGAACAACATTTGGATACTGGACATCGTTCTCGTCGAAGCCGTCGCCTGCGACGAAGGGCTCGACGAGTAAATTAACCCACAGACACAGCCCACTGAGTTTCTCGCCGGATCTTCTCAGTGGGTCGCGTTTCCGATCCGGTGGTAGATTCTGCGAAGCACAGCTCTTGCTAGGGTTCGTGTTAGCAACGTCATCAGGTTTGAGCCCCGTGAGCTCACCTACTAGTTGAGGCGACGCTGATATAGCCTCTCAAGGCTATCAGCTTAGGTAGGGGAAAAAAAACCAACATTCGGACCGTCGGTCTACCGAGCAAATATCACCCGCTCTGTGGAAGATTTCTTTTCGTCGTTTAGACCTCCCACAACGTCACAAGATTAAAGCAAAAACTAACGAAAAATCTGTTATTCATCTCGTCTTTGAATCTCGGTCGAGAATGAGAAAATATTATTTCAAAGTTTCCCAATAAATTATCTGGGCTCTTACCGCACTAATAATAAGCAACCGATTACTCGAATACAGCCAAGTCTGGCCGACGATACAAAACTACTTGGTGCAATAAAAAAAAACAATAATGTATTCTTAATAAAAAAAAACATTCGTCATAAGATGACATAAGCAAAACGAAAAAACTATGCAGCTCTAAACATTTTGGAATGAACGCGAGGAGCGAAGTTGTGTGAATTGTTTTTTTTGTTAATTTACCACTACTTTAGGTTAAAACCTGTAAGTTTTTTTTTGACCTCTGTGTGTGAGTGCTTAGGTAAGTGTGAGTGAATGAAATAAAGCCACAGGACGTGGCTTATCGGGTTCTACAAAAACGTCAACTGAAAAAGTGTCAGTAAATGACCACCATTTTATTGATACTATCCCTTTTTTTTATTGCCCTTGTAGGCAGACGAGCATACGGCCCACCTGATGGTGAGTGGTTACCGTTACGTAATGGACTTCAGGAATGCCAGGGGCAGAGCCAAGCCGCTGCCTACCGCTTAATACTCTCCACAAGCCTCTTTTGAAGAAGGACATGTCATAGCGCTCGGGAAGCACCGTGGAGGGTCATCGCGCTCGTGAAACACCCTGGAGGGGAGCTCATTCCATAGCCGGAGGTACGTGGCAAAAAATACCTCTGGAAACGCACTGTCGATGAACGCAGCGGTTCCAGGTAATATGGATGAACTCTGCTCCGATGGCGGGAGGTGCGATGATAAAAAGGAGATCAACAATTCCTCAGAGTATTCCCCATGGAACATACGGTACAAAATACAGATGGGAACCGATGTCCCGCCGCAGACCCAGAGGTTCCAAGCGATGGATTTCATCCAACTAGTTTCAATTAATTTAATTTAAATTTGAAACAGCCCCTAATAAATCAAATTCATATTATTTAGTTTCATATCATTTTTAATGTAACTAATTATTTGTTTGTATACCGAGGGGTGAAAGATTATTTTATATTTATATTGATATTTATCTTTGTAATTAACCTCCCGTTTTATTTGATATTAGCATCATCAGTTCGATGTTTTTAATTGAATTTCAATTATGTTTAGACCATTCAAATAGCTGAGGAAGTTTTTTTTGTTTAGATATTTGTTCCAAACTTTAAACTTTAATTGGCTCTCCTGTAAAGTTGCAAAAATATTACTTAAAGCAAATAGCTTTTTACCCCTCGATATAATAATTGAAGATATTTATACATTCGACACTAACAACAATGGCGGCATCGCCAGAATTGCCATACTTCAAAAAATTTAAGAAGCAATAATTCTATAAATCTTTTCGATAAAACGAGTCTTAAATGAACACAACCATAAAACCACGAATATTAACGCAGTTTCAATACAAAATGATGATGTTAGAACCAGGAAACGGTGAACAGGAAAATGTATTACGCAAACTGGTTTTACACAATAACATATTTATTCTTAAGCAATCATTTATTAAAAGACGCTTTTTTTTGACGTGATAGCGTCTTATAAATCGATGAACACCGGCTGCACGCACGATACCAGGTCCTGTAGACTGAATGGTAAACAGTCGACGTTGCCCATAGCACGTCATTACGGATCCTCCCGATCCATTGACGGTGATTTTAGGCACCACAAGCACCGGTCACTGTCCTCGTCAAACCCGTTGCTTGCGACGAAGGGCTCGACGAGCGAATTAACCCATAGACACAGCCCACTGAGTTTCTCGCCGGACCTTCTCAGTGGGTCGCGTTTCCGATCCGGTGGTAGATTCTGCGAAGCACTGCTCTTGCTAGGGTCAGTGTTAGCAACACTCCGACTTGAGCCCCGTGAGCTCACCTACACAGGTAGCTGAAGCAGGTAGGGTGAAGCTGAAATAGCCTCTCAAGGGTATCAGCATAGGTAGAATTATAAAAAAAGGACGCACGAAATAGTGTCACGTTCCGCCTGAGGCTGAGCGTGCAAGCGAGAGCGCGGAACAAGCGATAGAGAAGTACAATCGGCCCAAGCGTTGGCTTGTGACACATTTTATGTCATGATCTAGTGGTAGATTCAGCAAAGCTCTTCCCTTGCTTGAGTTAGGGTCGATTTGCCGGTATTGTATAGTATTTGTAGGGTATTGGTCGATTTGCGTCAAATTGGCAAGGTAAGCAAACTTGATATTTGGTGCCGCACGAACTGAACGATTCCCAGCGCTTTTTTATTTTTCCTACCTAAGCTGATGGTAACCATATCAGCCATAAGAGACCATAAGAGGCCTAAGAGACCATATCAGCGTAACCTTAACTAGTAGGTGAGCTCGCGGGGCTCAAACCGGACGATGTTGCTAACACGAACCCTAGCAAGAGCAGTGCTTCGCAGAATCTAACGGAAGATCCGGCGAGAAACTCAGTGGGCTGTGTCTGTGGGTTAATTTATTCGCCGAGCCCTTCGTCGCGAGCGACGGGTTCGACGAGAGCGATGACCGGTGCTTGAGGTACCTAAAAGCACCGTTAGTAGATCGAGAGGATCCGAAATGACGTGTAGTCGCCAGCGCGACGAACCCTTTAAGATACGTCTTGCGTTGCGCAACAAACATAGAAACAAAGGAATTTTGTATCGCATTGTCACTTGCGATGAAAAATAGATTCTGTTTGACATTTCTAAGCGGTCATAGTTGGTTCGACCATGGTTCAGCGCTTAGATAATGCCCGAAACGAAAATTTACTCCTAAGAAGTCATGGACTATTTGGTGGTCTAGTGCCGGTTTAATTTATCACAGCTTCTTACTGAATAGCAATTACTGCGGTTGTATACTATGAAAAACTAGACACAATTGCGGAGGAGCTCGTGAGTGACCATCCACCGTACTCATCAGACCTTGTGACGCCAGACTCCCACTTTTTACAAGGTTTGAACGACTACTTGACAGGAAAAAATTCAATATCCAATAAGCAGTACCAAAAAGCCTTTGAATAGTTGTTTGTTACCCTACCTGACTTCTTCAAGAAGGGCATAGAGAAATCACGATCGCGCTGACAGAGATAAATCGTTGTATACCATCGATGCATATCAATAGCCACAACTTTTTGTATACCAAACGGCAATTTCATAAGTAAAGACAATGTCGGTTATTGTCGTATACTGTACTCTGGATGCTGTACGGAGATGTTTCGGATAACAGACACGAAATATTAGACACTATAATATATTAAGTACAAATAATGCTAATGCTAGTGCCCGTTTTCTTAATACATATAATTTTCTTAGTCAAACAGCAGCTGTTTGGTAAGACTGGTGTACTTCACTGGACTTCACGATGCTCTTTTTTTCCCTACCTATTCACTAGTAGCTCAAGAGGCTATTTCAGCTACGCCCGGACGGATGTACGTGAGCTCACGGGCTCAATCTGAGAGAATTTAGTAGTAAGAGCAGTGCTTCGCAGAAGCTACCACCGGATCGGAATCGCGAGCGACTGAGAAGATCCGGCGAGAAACTCAGTGGGCTGAATATCAATGCACACTAAATAGTTGTTGACTACAAAAGCGAACGACAGGATAACCTTAGACAAAAAACTTGAATTTGCAAATATACAAAAGTAAATAATAAAAAAAAGGAGTTCAACGCCCCGTCCGCGCTTATCTGGAATATGCCCTTAGCGAATAGGTAGGGAACAAAAATTCCACGAACAAAATACATTATTAATCGGTAAGAATAAAGATATAAAGTTGGGTTTACACATAATCAAGCACGGATTTTACGGCGTTTAAAAACAACATTTTTTGCAGCTCTATTGTGGCGTGACGTCACTATATATAACCAGTTTAATTCCATAACATCGGAATAAAATCAATAAAAATATTGTGAATTGTGATTTATCAAGGCTTTAGACACTAACCAAAACTTGTTATTAGTTTATAACATAAAATATAATTCATAAAATGAGATAAACAAAACATACCTTCATAACACTTATTCAGTCATAACAACACTGTCAATTAATTTATATTTATGTACACAATTAAAGATTTCTTAGAAATTAATTTTAAATTAAATTCGCTAATATTTCAATAAAAATATTAATTTCTTTAATAATTTAAGTGAAGTAGATGTTCAATTGATTACAAAGTTTTAGCGTCCATCTTGTTACGCTGTTTTTATGAGACTATTCTGGTTTCTTTACAGTTTAATGCTATAAGTGATTCTCGATATAAAGACACGGACATACATGTAATTAATTTTTTTGGGATATTTTTATTACTTTTTACTGGTGGTAGGACGTCTTGTGAGTCCGCACGGCTAGGTACCACCACCCTGCCTATTTCTGTCGTAAAGCAGTAATGCGTTTCGGTGTGACAGGTCGGGCAGCCGTGGTGCTCTAAAAGTGAGACTTAGAATTTAGGTTTCAAGATGGATGGCGGTATTTACGTTGTTGATGTCCATGGGCTCCAGTAACTAACTACTTGTCCACTCATGTTAGCATTTTTTTCTATTTTTGTTACAAAGAGATGATAGGTAGATGACCCCGTGGCTTACTTTAGTTGGATTCTTGCTTATGTACATCAACGTTACAAACCTTGGAACACAAGACGATAGTCTTTATCGCGAATCAGAAAAATTTAGAAGCGATCTAAGCTAATCTTCGATGGCGGTATCTTACCCATACTGAACATATTTAAAACAAAGAAATGTGTGTGTTCTTGGGTTAGAGTACCTACGGAAACAGAGTAACCTCACTCACTGAATGCGAATACAACCTTCTGTCTAGCGAATAAAAACTTTTTTTTTTCCTACCTAAGCTGATAGCCTTGAGAGGCTATTTCAGCGTAACCTTAACTAGTAGGCGAGCTCACGGGGCTCAAACCTGACGACGTTGCTAACACGGACCCTAGCAAGACCCGTGCTTCGCAGAATCTTTTACCGGATCGGAAACGCGACCCACTGAGAAGATCCGGCGAGAAGGTCAGTGGGCTGTATTTGTGGGGTAATTTACTTATCGAGCCCTTCGTCGCAAGTGACGGGTTCGACGAGAACGATGACCGGTGCTTGAGGTACCTAAAAGCACCGTTAGTGGATCGGGAGGATCCGTAATGACGTGTGACAACTTACGTGTAGTAACCAGATTTAGTTTGGTTGAAAATCTGCTCACTTCGATGGGATTTGGAATCGAAAATCCTGAACACGAATAAAAGTAGCATCACGGCCCAACTGTTGTTAAGTTTGTTACCGGACGTCTCAGACTTCAGGACGCGATGGCCATCAGGCATCTCGAGTCGTGGGGTCGAGGTACCAGTCGTACCTAATTGCTTCACGGCAGGCAGGGATGGTGGTACAGTGATGGTACCTTACCTACCTATGCCGGCTCAGAAGACATCATACCACCAGGAAAAAGAGCAAAAAAAGACGCAGATTAAGAAAATATTATAATTCCGTATTGTTTTACTTAAAAGTACGTAGTTCATAACTAAAAATACCTTCATGGTTAATGGATGTTAAGTGGTTACTGAAGCCCATAGACATCTACGATGTAAATGCGCCACCCACTTTGAGATATCAGTTCTAAGGTCTCAAGTATAATTACAACGGCTACCCTGCCCTTCAAACCGAAACGCATTACTGCTTCACGGCGGAAATAGGCAGGTTAGTGGTACCTACCCACGCGGACTCACAAGAGGTCCTACCACCAGTAATTACGCAAATTATAATTTAAATTTACTATATAAATATAAAGATTTAAATATAACAGCTGACGAGTCACCCGTGACCACAAAAAACGCACAGTATTTGATGTACTAATTTTTCATAACATCTATCCGCTGCGAGACGGTCCGCCTGTTGGATGCTGTCCTCAACAGTGTATAATCTATGGTCCTCAACTGAGCTGCTTGTCTTTTTTGTCCTTTCCTCTCCACTTGATCAAGAATGAGAAGTTTTTCCAGGCTATGCCTTGGAGACCGCATTATATGTTCGAAAAATTTGAGTGTTATATTTTGGCAAAAGGTACGCCAAGGTAAGTAAAGGTAAGTAAAGATACGTAAAAGATCGCCTTGTGATGTGGAGTTCTTGGAGAATTGATTCATTGGTCCTTATAGCTGTTCACGGTGTGCGTAGCATTCTCCAGCACCACATTGCGATGGCATCGATATTATTGTTATCGCGGCACTTTTTGCAACAGGTTTTTCAGCGCACGCACCAACCTAATCTTGGTCTCGCGGCGAATACTTCAGTTTTTCCACATTATTTCTAGGTTAGTCATCGTTTGCCATTCCAAATGCCACAGAATGGTGCTGTATATTCTCATTGGATTTGTGGCTTTACGAAACCAACGGGAAGAGATGCGATAGTGCTATATTGCTGCAACTCTAAAATAGTCTACGCTACAATTTCTCATATGCCTCCTTAATCCTTAATCATTAAAAGCCCGGATTCTAGTTCTAAGTTTACATACCGCGTAAGTATTTCCCAGACAGCCGCGTAGCCGTAGCCACGGCTTTCGCAAAACCCCAATGTTTTCGTTCCCAACGAGCTACCAATAGATCGCGCCCTTACCGAGCACATATCATTTTTTGCGTACGAAATACCGTACAAGGATAATAACTGGTTTACGGAGTCGTCGATGTGTCACGTTTTCCGACACAGAGGTCGAGTTTCTAAGCTCGCGAGGTCTTCAAAATCTTAACACTAAGTACGAACTAAAGCTAACTATAAATTTTCTATGATACGGGTATTCTAAGATGCCACCTCAAAGCTTCCTCAGCTTGACTTTTTTTTTATTGCCCTTGTAGGCAGACGAGCATACGGCCCACCTGATGGTAAGTGGTTACCGTCGCCATGGACTTCAGCAATGCCAGGAGCAGAGCCAAGCCCCTGTCTACTACTAAGTACTCTCCACAAGCCTCATTTGAAGAAGCGTCATATGTGATAGCGCTCTGTCTCGAGGAATCTTCGAGTTTGGTTTGCGTCGAGTTTAAAATCATCTTGCAAGGGCTAATTATGTCGTTATGTTTTCCTTGATTCTTGTAAGCGGATCTACAGTTTATTAGTCGCGTCCTCGACTGAGTAATGGGTTCTGAAGTGCGGGTCGATTGGAACTCCTCAATTTGCATGTGTCGGGGCGGTAGACAATATTGACGCACTCATAGCCACTAATTGTGGGTTCGATACGGGAATCGGGTGAGAGAATAGATAATGTTTCTTTTTATTGCTTAGATGGGTGGACGAGCTCATGGCCCACCTGGTGTGAAGTGGTTACCGGGGCCCATAGACATCAACAACTTAACCACCCGCCTCGAGACGTGAGTTCTAAGGTCTACATATTTACAGTTACAACGGCTGCCCCACCCTTTAAGCCGAAACACATTACTGCTTCACGGCAGTAATAGGAAGCGTGGTGGTACCTACCCGCGCGGATCATCAGTGTAATTACGCAAATATTTTTTGGCGTTTGATGTTAATACAAGGTTTTTATTTTATTTAAATTGTATTAAACCACTTGACCATTATTCGAAGTATAGGCAAATAAGAGGCTAATTTTGTTTCCTGTCCCGTTTTTCCTGTTAACAGTCTCGCTCTCGTGACGTCACTAGGTCAGAGAGGGAAGCGCACTTGTATGTACTCACCTCGATCTTGTTCACTGGCCTTCTTTCCTTGCCGGAGACGCTTGCTGTGGAACAGGTGAGTAATACTGAAGACTTTTCTGTTTTCTGACTACCGTCAATGTCTTTACTTTTAACAATTTAAATTGACAACAGATTTTCGAAGTTCGAAATAGATGTCCGGTTAATTTTCAACTGTGCCGGCTATAAAATGCTGCTACATGTCGCGCAGGGGCAGCATTGTGCTTCTCAAGTATTCGTGCAGGATAATTAATAACTATAATCCAGGTGTGTCTTGACACGGTTATTATTAGGGGTTAAAGTATGAAATTGCCGATGTGTACTGGAAAATTGAAATTCTTTTTTTTTTATGTAACATATTTATTTAAACAAAATATCTACCATTATTATCTATGCATTGCTGCCATCTAATAGGTCATTTGTGCCTTTGCGATAGAACTCTGGTGATCTAGATTCGACAAACTGTGTGAAAGCATTTTGTACTGACTCCTGGGAAGATAACTTTTTATCACGTAGAAAAAAGTCCAAATCACGAAAAAAATGGTAGTGCGTTGGAGCAAGGTCTGGCGAATACGGACGGTGACGAATGGTTTCTAATTGCAGTTCCTGTAGAGTTAAAATGGTTTCTCGTGCTGTATGAGGTCTCGCGTTATCATGGTGCAATAATAGTGAAGATCGATTCATGAGTCGGGGCTGTTTCACTGCAAGTTTTGCTTTCACATTGTTCGCAGTTCGGCACAGTAGACATCTACCGTTATTGCTTGACCAAATCGGAGAAAGCTATTGTGAATAACACCATGCTGAGACCATCAAACCTTTTTACCTTAAATTACCTTTTTATTGGTAAGCTTTCCTTTAGGACACTGTTGCGGCGTTTGACCTGGGGTCAGCCATTGCATTTTTCACTTACGTTGGTAAGATAATGTTAAACCATGCGGCTAATTCCTGGGTAGTTTGGCTCGGATCGGCTTCCATCATCTTTTTCAATTTATTTACATGTGTGGGCGGGCGGTCTTCCACGTGGTTTGTTCTTCAAATCAAAAATTCCATCATGAAAGCGTTTAAACCAAAATCGCATGGTGCGTTCATTAGCAGTCCCCTCTCTAAGCGCAACATTGATATTGCGAGCTGTTTCTGCAGCGTTAGTTCCGCGTCGGAACTCGTATTAAAAAATCACTCGAGTTTTCCAAGTAGGTATACATCTTTCTTGTTTAAGCCGAATAAAAAAAAACAACTGAAAGTCTATAATCGAATTTTGCCCTTTTTTTAAAAGAAGAACCTCATAGGTACCATTAGAAAAAAAGTTTCACTCAAAAATCTCAAACCATGAAGATCCTATATCAGTTTGAAGTACCTATTACAATAGAACGGCAATTTCATAATTTAACCAAAGACCTATATAGTAGGGACACGACATATTGTTCTATACATACAATTGCTTATATAAATAGCACCCATTTTGAAGGCACACACATAAACATATATCTATCTCGTTCTTACTCAGCACTTTAACTCGCAGGAAAACAATATAACAGTATTTCAGTG